TAGTATATATGTGCACGCATATGTAAAACTGTGTCTTATTGCTGCTTGACGCTGCATTTAATAAACTTTTCGTGGCACTAAAACTCTGGCAGCAGCGCAAAGATTTTCTTAGCGTTTTTCAGTGTTTACATTTTCGGTCGCAGCAGCGCAGCGCTTGTGTGGGTGCGTGTAGCGCGCAAGATGCAAATTGAAAGTGGCCATGTGTGGCATGAAGTGGCGGCTGGCTACTTTACTCGTACTTTTCTGCGGTTGCTTTTTGTTGCTTTTGTTTTTGGCATTTTTGACATCTGTTGTCTGCCGTTGCTGCCACTTCACATGCGTGCAATTCTTTTTATATGTAAATGTGTGCATGCGTGTGTGTCTGCTTAAAGTTATTTGCCATTGTTCAAAGCGCCTTCTACATGCCACAGAAATCTTTGTTTCTTTTGTCTTTGCTCTTTTGCAAGCTTTTGATTGTTCTTATTATTTAATTTGTTACTTGTGTGGTGGCTGCTGCTCACTTCTGCTGCTGCTGATGATGATTTATATTTATGCATTGTGCAACAATTAAGATTTATGTTGATTGCTTTAATTTGTCGCGAGATTTTTATGCGTACATTTGAGCGTTTTACTTGTAAGTTTTTATACTGCGCTTCTCTTCGCATAAACGCTCGTAAACATTCAGCTTGATGACCCCAAATTCCAGTGACGTTTGGCGCATTAAATTTGCAAATGAAATGAAATACTTTTCGTTTTTGATTAATACATTTCTTGTCTGCTGGCCTCATGGTCTATATGTTAGTTATTTAAGAACACATTTTTGCTATAAATAAATAAAAGCCATAAAGATGCTATAAAATGGAGACCGTTCGATATTCAAAAGAGTAAAAAAATTTAGTTTTGAGAATAGTTTGATATGATATGACTAGCCTTATACGGAAAACTCTTTCATTTGTAGAGATGCCTTCAACGAAGGCAACTGTGCAATCTTTTCTTGTTAAAGTTACGGTTGGAGAGTTCGTAGGCAAAGATAATATATGTGCTTCAATACCGTTTTAAGTTTTTTTCAATCATAAATTTATCAAGCTACAATACCCTGAAACGCCGTGCTAGTTCTAGTAACGGACTTGATTACATACCGTTACTATAATAATGCATATCAATTGCATTTAAGTGTAATTTAATATTTTTTAATGTTTATCGAAAATTACACAGAAATAAATTACTCGCTACCGCAGCGCCATTTATACCATACACACATACAGAAAATGGGTGTACTTAATTTGGGTATAACTAACGGCTACTCAAAGTCACCTACATACGGGTGTAATTTGCAATGAAAAATCGATTAGCGGCTACCGGCACGCTTCTAATACGAAAAGCAATTGAGAGTTGGAAAAAGAAACAACAACAACAAGAAGCCGCAAGTTGTTTTTCGCACAAATAATATATTGATTAAATTTGCAAACGCAAAAATTTGTGTTTGGGTATGTAAAATTGGCGGTTGTTGCAACAAAAAAAAAAACGAAATAAATAAATAAATGTATACAAAAAAAAATGAAATAAGAAGATAAAAATGCGAAAAATAAAATTAATAAAGATATAAAACCAAAAATTTTTTCAGAGCGCAACAGCAAATGACAATAATTCTTGGCAACAGCAGTCGTTAGCGATTTGTATTCAAAATGTGGCATAAATATAATTATCATGAATATGCATGCCAAAAGTAGAACAAAATAATTTTTCAGATTTTTTTTTTCGATTGCTTTTTTATTTTTGAGAATTTCGATTTTCGCTAAACCATTGTGCGCCTGCAGAACGATAACTGTCAGTCTTAAATTAAGTGCTCAAAATGCAACTAGCTTCACCGGCCACAGCGTCATTTTCATGCGAGTTAGAGGGCGGCTTTGCAATTGCGCAAAGCAAAGTAGTTTTTTGTTTTGCAAAAAAAAAAGTCTTGCAACCAGTGCTGTCATGACTATTTTGAGTGAAGGCACAGCCGACACAACAACTGCAAATGCCAGCTACAGCTCGACACGAGTGAACTAACGAACCTGCGCCTTTAGAATTGGCGAATTATTTTGTTATTTCAAGAATGAGTGCAAAGTGCGGCTATGCGCGCCTGCGCAGCACCACGTCCAGCTGAACTATTTTAGTGGGCAACGAGAACAGCGCGCCAAGCAGGTGTGCGCGAAATGGCCGCAGTTGCAGCCAGTTAAGTGGTCGGGCAGTCAGAGGCAGTCTGTCAGTTAGCCAGCGACTCAGCTAGCTAGCTAGTCACTTAGACAGATTTGACATGGTTGCACTTGATTGGCGGTTATTTCGCCTATTGACCAGCTTGTTAAGAAATTGTTGGCCGCTAAATATTTTTATTTGTTGATTCTCACATTTTGTTTAGATTTTCTTCTGTTCATTCTTTTTGGGGTTAGCAATATGCACACCGACGGAAATTGTTTTAAGTATTAATAAACAAAAGAATTTAGAACAGAGTTGTCTATATAAAAGCAAATAAATATTTATATGTGTATATGTATATTTCTTACCTCATATGCTATGCATATTTGGTCATCAATGCTAAATATTGCGGCATAAAATTGCTTATAACTTGCCGTCAGATAATTTAGATACTGTTTTAATTATTTGCTTGCGACTGTGGAGTTTCACTGTGCTTTGTGTAGTTTATTTCGGTCAGTTGGCCTGTAACTGTAACAGTGTTGCATTCTGGCGAAATTTTTTTTAGGCTAAGGTTATTGGTTGGACTTGGAAAACTGAAGTGCGAAAAAAATAAAAATATATTTTTTATAATCTGGGAATCTGCAAATTTGTGAGATATCACAAATCTTCTTCATAGAAATTTTAGATGAAAGTTTAATATTTGCAAATCAAAAAGTCATGATTTGAAAAATATTTGAGTTTTTGAAAGGAAATTTCACAATTTTGAAATACTGTACCGGTTTAAGTCTTCAGTTGAAAAATTTGCAAAGGATTTTGAACTTAAATGTAAAACTCATATGCTAACTTTGACAGCTGGTTTGACAGCTAACCCTCTAGGAAGTTTTAAATCTCTAAAAACTTCACAAAAGAAAAGAAAATATTGAAAATTAATTTATTCATGTATTTTAAAAGTTATAGCAAAAAATATTGGAAAAAAAACATTATACAAATTTAAAAAAAAATTTTATATCTAAATTTTTTTAAAAATTTATAGCGAAAAATAATGAAAAAAAAATTTATTATACAAAATAAAAAAAAATATTTGAATTTAAATTTTTTTAAAAGTTATGACAAAAAATATTTAAAAAAAAATAATTTTAAAACTTTAATATAAAATATGTATATTATTTTCACAAAGAGAAATTTTCTATTTTTACCGACAAAAAGTATTTCCAAGTATTTTATTACATTTTCAACCAAAAATAATCAACTACCCTAATGTTCGCGCAAACTTCACCATTGAACGACTTCCTCTCCCAGTCAGCTCCTTTAAAATTTGCCTGTTGCCAGCTGCACTATTATTATTTTATATGAGTTTCTGATTTACTTGCTTACGCTATTATTTGCTATTTGTTGTTTTTGTTTGCTGGCTTACGTGATTTTTCTATAGCGAAAAAGAGCTTTTATTTTTAAAGTTGTTGTGCGGAAGTGGTGCTGGCTATTCGACCATTTGGCGCACATTCTCCAACTTGACGTTCCCAGAAATAATAAAAAAGAACTTATTTTCAATGAATTCTTCATGAAATTCTTACAATCGGCACAACAACGAGGTCAGCAAGACATGGCGATACAAGTGATTGAGTTGTAAGAAATAATATGGCTTTATAAATATACACTATATATGTATATATATATAATAACATCTCTGTATATTATATATAACATCTGTGTATATATTTTTCTAGTTTGATGGTTTTATTTTTAAATTAAGTTGTTGTTCACGTCTTCTGAACATCATCACTCCAAGTACGTGTGGAATAGACGAAATTTCGCTCGGAGTTGGAAGGCTTAAATGTTATTGAAGGTGGGTGGTTACTATATCTAGTAATTGGATATATACTTAGTATGCACAGATATAGCCCTTAGTACCCTTAACTTGAGCTTGCAGTGTCCCTAAGCTGTTGCAGATGGATCGCTAGCATTGGCTCATATAAAGCATTGACTCATTTAAATCAAAATTAATAATATTTTGAAGCAATAATATAATGCTGCCACAACTTTTGACTAATACCGTCCGCCCATGTTGTTTGGATAATTATGTGTAACTTGTCGAATTGGGGCAACTTAAGCTTGTTGCAGGCAAACAAGGTACTGCTATGTACTTTACATGCATGCAAAGTTTCGCTGTGGGCGCCGCCGCGGCTTGCCAAGTATTATAGCCACACACATGCACACACATGCGCTTAACAACAAAGTAGGCATGCAATTACTTGCAACATGTATTGATTTACTGTTGACTTGAGCAATTCACTCGCTTGCCGCCGCTTGCGGCTATTTGCCACCCAAATGCTGGGCGATATTTGAGCGCAAGGCGATTGTCCGTCTGTACTTGAAGTTTGCCAAATTAAGTCATTCGTATGAGGCATTTAGGTGGCGCACAAATGAACGCTATTCCGATTATTGCATTAAGCATGCTATATGCAGACGTGGCATATGAGCGGTTGTACTTAAATTTACTTAGTATTGCATGTATACATATTTATATACTTGTATATATGTGTGCGTATGTGCAACTTAACGACATGTTCAGTGATTTGATTTAACTGTCATTATTTTTGGCAATAAATACTTTGTTAGATAAAATTTTTCGAAAGGCGTGTATATCTCTTGCTCAAGCGGATTATGCATTTTCGGGGCATGTAACTTTGAGTTTAAATAAAATAATGGTTTAGACTTAAGTAGTCACTGGAATGCATAATTCGTCAGGAATTTCGAAAATATGTTCGAAATGCATTGAAGTAAAAATTATTGGACATTTTTAAATTCGGTTGAAAAAAATCAAAAATTAATTTTTCGACATTATTTAGTTTTAGAAATTCGCAAGGCAACTCTATTTCTACTGCAAATTACTTTTTCATTCGAATAATTTGGGTACGCGAACTGTATAGTAACCCACTAATAGAAGTACAAATAAAATTGAAAAGGACTATATTTAAAGAGGTATACTACTCGGTTGGAATATGTTTCAGGTATTAATAACCACTTCAATACCTCTACACTACTACTAAAGAGGCTTTCATCGTAGGTATATAGCGGTAGCTGCTGCAGTTTAAGAACTTGAAGAACTGCGAAAACATCCTAAGCCGGATGTGATACATATGAGATTACGCAAGACCCATATGATTAATTTACCGTTAATCCTTATGGTGAATTCATCTTACTGCTTTTCACTCAGTTCTCTGTTTTTTATAGATTTTGCGTCAATATCTTTTAGTTTTCGAATCAACTCTGAAGCTGTCGATGATTATTTAAGCAGGTTTAATTTCTATTTTTTCAGAATTCCATATTAAATTTGCGCATTCCCCGCTTTATTAGGAGAAACAGGAAAGTCACAGGAAGTGAGGTGTAATATTTTGTTCATGTTTCTTTGGCAAATATTAATATTATACCCTGAACTACTTCGCCCCAATGTTTTTGAAATATCGATCTGAAATTTTGCATCCGTGTTTTCCATAAAAAGCATGTTTAAATTGAACAAGTGACATTTAAAAAACCAAACTAGTACCGTATTCTTATGAAATAATATTTTATAATTAGATATTTTCAAAACGTTTATGCATGTATCTCTATTATGTAGATATCTCGAAAAAATAAATCATTGCCATAAATGAGTAGCTGTCCTAGTTTTTCAATGGACGATAAACATATTTTCCCAAGTACCACATTTTGTGTCAAGCCCGCAGTCTCCAAGTGCTCACTTAAAACGAAAGAAATTATTGTCGCCACAACTTTAACAACCGCTTCCAGCTAAAACAGCAATTAATTTGAAGCAAATTATTTTACGAAACACAAATAAATTTGAGGTGCAAAAAAGCAAGCAAGTATACAGAAATTAGCAAATTGACAGCTTTCATTTTTTGCCAATTCATTGTTTATACAACGAAGTAGCTGCCAGTTGTTGGCACGAATTTTCACCAGTTGGCGCATTCAACTTAGAACGTGGTAACCAAATCACAACAAAAGCAACAACAATACAAAGACAGTATGGCAAGCCAGCGAAGACTCCAACAGCAGCTGTTGGAAGCTAGAAATTTACGCGAGCGCCGGCGACCTGACTGTCCGATAAGAAGCATCAAAAAAGCAGCACAAAAAGTCGCTGCAGCTTTACAAAAGTACTAAGAATGCCTAGCAATACTGACAAAAAAAAAAAAAAAAACGAAAAATGGAAAATCGTATGTTGTGGCAATGGAAATATTTATGGGCCTCTAAAATGGGTTAAATATAGTAGGTAAGCAAATTGCAATTTATTGCGCTCGTTAAGTAAACACAAATGGCCCAAAAGCAACACAGGTGGAAAAAATGACAACTAAATAGCTGTACAAGTACCATACATACATTTGTACATATATATTTGCGTGTGTATTGGCTTATTTAATACAAAAAATATATAAGTAAAGAAACCTTTTATATATATAGATATGTATGTGTATTTATTTATATATAAGCTTGTAAGTGCCACATACGACTCTGCAACGCTTGTGCTTTTTGCGCTAACTGCTGATTTACCTATTTTAACACTATTTTGTTGCTTGTCTCTTTATTTCCCGCTTTGCGCGTAGCAGTTCAGTGAGCGTGTCACCAATGGGCTGCTGTGCACATTTTTTTCACATGCCGTGAAATGATCAAAAATAAAGCAGTGAATCGTCTGTATTCGCTGAAACCTTTGCAACTTTTTTTTTATGCCACCGAAACCTGCAATTAAAATGGCAAAAACTTTTACTTGTGTAGCTCTCACTAAAGCGTTGAGGTACGAGCATCTAATTTCTATGCGGTCAAGTGTCTGTGAAATCAAAGCAGCTGCGTTGGAACAATAACAACTCGCTAAGCCGCTAAGCGTTCAAGCAACATGCTCGTAGCACTGTGTCTAGCTGGTGTGGTGGCAAAAAAACTCTGCTTTAACTACTAAATTACTAGTTGCAAGTAAATAGAAGAAGCAGAAAAAAAACGAAAAAAACAAATGAAATCGTTTATAAAAGACAAAGTTACGAGTGAGTAAATCAGCGTTCAGTTGATGATGGGCAACAAATCGAAAAATTGAATGAATTTCTTCAAGGTACAGTGCAACAAAAGCAAAATTTTGTTACTAAAATTTTGAATATTATGAGTAGAGAATAAAGACACTGTTTGCACAAAGCAGAGTTGCCACATTTTCCAATAATTATATTTTTTTTGTGATAATGCGCATTAATTTCAATAGACACAGAGGTTTCTCTTGTAGCAACAGACAAGTCGTGCTACAAAAATTTCATCGAAAAGCTCGTAAAATAAAAACTAATTTTGTAAAAACCAATTTTGTTTAAAAAGTTTTTTTCTTCAAACAGATATTACAACTGTCAGTCGGTTTGTGATTTTACTTCGACGCGACTACAACGTGATTGAAATTTCTCTCGAAATGACCTTTTCAGTTGTGATTAAAAGCGCCATAGCCTACATAGAAGTGTTACATATAACGGTTTATTAAATCTAGCTGCGCTTTACTCTTAATAAAAGTTGACGGACGCCAATTTTACATAAAATTCTCGCCGCAATAATAATAAATTATATAATTTCAGTGGTTTGTTTTCACTTTTCTCAAGCTTCATGTTATTGCTTTCATTATTATGTTTTTGGTTTACTTCCAACTTAAGTATCTGTCTTACAAAGTAATTAAAACTATATCCTTCTGTCATCGAGAGAGTGAATTTCTTATTGCTATGACGAATTTGCTAAGACAATGGATTTTTTTATAAATTATTAAAATTATATGACTTGCCACAAAACGCTTCAATTTGAGTTAAAAAAATAAAAATAAAAACAGCAAGCACATTAGTTAAACTTCAATTAACGTGCAATTAAATAGAAAATATTGACAGCTGTCTGCTCGCATACATAAACGTACATACTTACATACATATGCAATAATAAGCGAGTATAATAATTAGTTTATTTAAATGGCGATTTGCGGAACCACTTCAAATGCCAAAGCCGCCACAACTCAGTTACAATAACAACTATAATAGTATAATAATCTATCTTTTACTAAGCGTTCATTACACTTGGCTACAGCGCTGTGGCATGCCACCTGCCTTGCTCTACTATTTCGTTAAGAGATTTTGTTACACTTTTTTTTGCCTTTTCCACAAAGTGAAAGTGAAAATGTTTCACTTAACCCTGCGGCGACATTTTAAATCTTAATTCAAACTTATGCAGCTTAGCTTAACTTTGCACGCACACACAGATACGCTGTTTTTTGTGTTTGTTAATTTTTTACTAAGCGTTAGTTGGCGTAACTTTTTTGTTGCCCGCTCACATTTGAAACTCATTAGCTCGCAGCTGAGCAAAAACGTAGCGCAAAAGTATATATGCAAAAGTGAAAATGCGAAATAAAATAAAATACGAGAAAATCGGAAAAATTCTCTTTTGAACGCTTTGCTAACGCTTGCTACGTTGCAACCAACGCCACCATTGCCCTGCCTAGCTGGTTGACTAACCACTTCGCTTCGCTCTCTGTCTCCACATTTGCACTTTATTTTACTATTTAGTGCACAAAAATCACACTGCCAAATTGAGTTATTCACTCTATGGCTACAACATTGGCGTACCCACGTATTGCATAGGAAAAAACGAAAAATCAGAATGACAAAGCGGGTGAAATGTAATTTTAATTAAGTCCCGAAGACATGTTGGATGTTAAGCTTACTTTTTTGCCCATTTCTCACTTTTTGGTATTAAAATACTATTTTCATTTTATTGTACTTTCATTGCGCACGTTGCTCTAGTGGATGCAATAGCTAGAGGAGAGCTTTTTGCCAAGTGAAAGCTTTTACATATATACTTTTTGAATTTCTAAAGGAAAGTTTTTTTAGGGATGTTAATGAGTTAAATTATATTTTTGTAGACATCCATATCACTATGCATTTAAGTTAAGTGAAAGCTCAATTTATTCAGGAAAAAAATTACTTGAATTTGCATTATTATTTTTTAAGTGAACTCCATGCAACAATAAAAATAGTTGATTTGTTTTAAATGCGATATATGTTGTGATAAAAAGCTGTATTCTAAGTGAAAGCTTGGTAGCAACAAAAGATATAGGTATATAGAGAAGCCGGAATATCTTTTTAATTTAATATATATCATCAGTATATTAGAAGCTTACACTACTTTCAATGGTTATACTTTCATACTAATGAAAGCTCATCTAAGAATATTTTTCGAGTGAAAGCTCAGAAAGTTTATAACTTAACAGTATTTACCTTATAAATTAGTTGGAAAGCTTTTCGAAGGCTCATCCAAATCAAGCCAACATTTCTTAGCAACAGTTTGGAAACCATTGCATATTTTCCCACTGACTTGTTTATGATTCAATACGCCCACAAATTTTAAAATTTTTTTTGTATTCAGATAGAATTAAAAGTGTTAAGGTCACATTTTGCCTATCGTTGCAGCCAATCTGATCTGCTGAGCAAACCTTCCTCCAAACTTTTAAATTTTATCTGCGAAAACTGAATTGGCGCGCGATAAATAAAAGCGCTTATCTTGCAGATAAGATCAGCAAAGCGACTTGTGAGCATTTGCTATTTTGATTTGTGCGCTATTTCAGCCTTTTCGCCTTTTGTTATGGGCATTCACTTTAGTTTGCGGTCTCTTGTCAATTTTATGCGCGATTTTCTCACAAATTGTTGGACAAAAATTAAATATGCATAAATATTTAAACTACAAATTGCTCGTTTACCACTTTGGCAGTTCGATAGCGTCAACAAACCATTTATTTTAAAATTTATTACATATTAAACGAATTTAAATAATATTTATTGGGAATTGCTTTTTCTTCGGGTTGAGCGCTTACAAATAACTGCAAAGCTAGTAAGCACAAAAGGTGGTAGTTAGAAATCTTTAAAATCGGCTTACTACGTCTTCTTCACCTTTTCACAGCGCCTTTCCTCCTCGCGCGTTTTGATTAGTATTCGATTTACTAATAACATATTGTCAACAAGCATTTAACATGCATAATAGTTTTATAATAAGTCGCTCATAAATATTACGCTTTTGCTATACACACATACATGAAGTGGAAAAAAGCTGCAAAGATTCAATTCACAGATTTTTATTCAAATTTTGCAGATAGCCTCCTATGGCGCAGCGATTTGTATTTTTTAACTATTGTATTTAATCGCCTGCCCATTTCTGCTGTGTATTATTTCTTATTGAATAATTTATATCATTGCTGCTGTCAATAAATTGCTATAATTCTCACTCGCAGTCGCTGGGAGTTTAACGTGTCGGCACTGAGTATACCTATCATATCTAGCAATATACAGTACATGAATACATATAAATACGTGTACGTTTGAAACGCCAATTTGTAATGTCAGCAAAATAGGTATAGAAAAAAAAAACTAACCCGATTTAAGCTATTTGTATACGTATCAATAAATATTTTTGCAACAACAGCTGCAACAACAACTATATGGTACAACTTTGTCCGCAAATTCTCGATATTCGCTCTAAATTGCGAGTATATATATTTATTTAATTTTTTGCAGCAAACTCGCGCTGTTTTTGCAGCAACAAGTTACTTTGTAGTTCGCACGTTTTGCCGTCGTTTATGGTCGTTCTTGGTTCTTATTGTAATATCTGTTTTACTAATTCCATATTTTGCTTTATGCAAGCACTTCGTGCTTTGTGTTGATTTTGTAGAGATTTGTTCTGATTTTATTATTTCAAACAATAATATGTATGACTTTAGCGGCGCATTTAATCGCTTTTTGTCAAGGCAATTACTTTTGCATTTTTAAACTTTTTTTATAGCTTAATATATATCAGATAATAATCTACAAAACTGCTTGGATTACATTTTTTTGCTTTTTTCATGCTTTAAAGTAATATCAGCCGAAGTGGCAAGTTTCGAAAGTAAGCTTATTTCAAAAGCTTTCGCAGATGAAAGCTACGAAATATTTTGTTGTCAGTTGCCTGTTCTAATGTCAATAATTAGAAAGTACGATTAGAATGATATAGATTTTAGGTTGCGTTAGAGATATGGTTCGAACAACAAGAACGAATGTTAGAGCAATTATTTTGGAGAAATAGCACGGGTAGTCGGTTTGACAAAGCATCATATTATATAGTTAATATACCATAAGCTATTATGATACCAGAGGTAGGTATTTCTCGAGTTAC